TAAAGGGATGTCTGGCAAGAAATATTACACTGTACAACTTTTGAGGCTGTACTAAATCACATCATCGATCTGCCTCTCCCTGTTAGATCATATATGGTGTCAAATATATGGAAACTGGTTCTGTGCATCAATGGATGAGACCCTACAGATATTGAATATCATTGCTTTTCTCCAGGCAGTCTGGTTTCCTATACCTCAAATAATACTATTTTATACCATGAATGATTCCTTCATGGATACAGAGTATGAAATAAAATAAAGAGCAATGCAGTCAAAATTGATTCAAAGTCAATTAAAGAGAAAATCTTTAAAATTTCATAATTTTTTAAAATATTACGTGGTTCGAAAATCTCTTTCTATTTTAAATTTTCTCGGACCAAATTTCTGAAATTTACCTTTAAAATTAATGAAGAGTTAGATTGTCCAAAACTACTGACTGCATTACCTCCCTTGATATATGTTTGGCTTGTTACTGTGGCTGACATTCCAGAACAGCCAACCAGCTAATAATGGTGTAGTATACTAAATGAAGTTAATTAAAAAATTATGGATTTTATGCAGCATGTGGTTACAAATGGTTATCAAAAAATGGAAAATGGGCCAAAAACTTTTTTCTTGAATTCTAAAAGAAAGATGTATAAGACATGGCTGTGTATTAGGCTGTATGACATAAGTATTATGAACAGCTTTCACAGCTTTTTTTTTCCCCAAGTATATTACAAATGATGAAATCATCACAATGATTCTAAGTGCTGAAGGAAAGTATTTAGAAACATAATTTAAGCAATCGCCTGGAGAAAATAGGTGAAGTTTTTTTCTTTGGTGTTTTATGGCACAGCAACGCTATTAAGTTTTTAAGTGTCAGGACAATTTTAGAAAAGTACCTTGCCCAAGGACACACTATGGTTGCTGACCTAGGCTGGTCTAAAATTAAGAATATTATTTATTTGTTTCTTTATTATGGTGTCAATAAGATACAAGTTCTGAAATATGCAGAGATTGCATTTTTGCCTTTGAATAATGTTTTTATGTTAATGAATTCCAGTAATTCTTGTCATTTGTTCTCTATTTTCTCTCAATCCAAAAGTAAGCATAGCAACTGTAGATGTAGCATTATTTATTGCAATTTTTTAAAATTTGCACAAGATTACAAATAGTTTTGTAAGCAATTGCAAAATCCCTTACACTATCATCTGTGTTTGAGAGTTCTTTTGTTCTGGGGATACAAAACTTTCACATACCGTATGTTGTTGTAGGGTTTAACGCCATTTTTCAGCACAAGATAGGCTATACATGGTGGCCAGTATTAATGGTGGAGGAAGAACCCTGGAAAACCCAGGAAAGAACCACCAGCCCACGAGAAGCTACTGGCAGACTTTCTCACTTATCCACATTAGAAGAGTCTGGACTCTAACTCACATGATCCGTAACGGTAAGTGCTATCTCATAATGGGATGGCAGATCAGAAATATAATTTATTCCACCTATTACTGCTAACAAGCTGCATAGACCCAGCAAAGCTATGCAGATATAGGTCTATGAATTTGGCAGTTGTTTTGACTTATCAGCAAGTATATATGGTACATATTCAGGTCCAACAATGCATGTGCCAACTTTTGTGAGGGTCATGCTTATTAAACCCAAATAGATGAAAACAATGCAGTAGAAATTTATAGTAACAATGTGGGTTTTCATGCATGATCTAAAAAAAGGTTAAAAAAAAACATCCACATTTGACAATTAAACAGACAAATCATTAATATATGTAGGCCTTAAGTTGTGGATCCAAGATTTTCATCTATAGCATGTTCAGTTTAAAAATGGGTTTATTCTGCTTTTTTAAAAATAGCCATATTTTTCCATGGTGTGAAAATGGGAAAGAGTCTAACGATTTCCAACCTGTCATTGCATTCTTTTTGGATGGATTATTGAGTAAAATGACAGCTATCCCTGATGCTTCATCTTTCTCCAGGTCGACAGATCCTCCTTTGTACTTGGCAAACTCCTTCTGAAGATTTTGCTGTGTCTCGTTATAAAGACTGGCTAGAGACCTCACTACCACATTACCATGCCTTCCTGACAGTATAAAAACACAAAACTACATGTCTCTTGTTTCATATCAATCAACCACAGTGGGAATTTACGAAAAACAAATCGGGGAAAATACAGAGAGTGTAACTTATCAAGAAATCCTCTGTAAAATGTCTATGCTTTAAAGATTAATAACACGAAAACCAATGATAAAATATTCTCTCAGGCATTAAATTTTGCAAAAATGGAAGCTATGGCTTAAACAAAATTGGCTCAATATCCAAGATTGCTCATACTTGTTTTTAATATTTTTAGATCTTTATATATATATATATATATATATATATATATATATATATATATATATATATATATATATATATATATATGCACACTGAGAGAGAGAGAGAGAGAGAGAGAGAGAGAGAGAGAGAGATGCCACCTGCCACCCAAATCATCCAACCTTAAAAGTTTACTGCACTATATTTCACATCTGATCCAAAATTAAAATAATGAAACCATTATATGGCTTTAGAATAACACATATGCTTAAAATCTAACATAATCTTTTATATTTGTTCTGAAATATATGATCAGTAATGCAGATGTCAGCTTCACAGCAACACTGTAGATGTACACATATATAGGTCAAATGATACTATACTCTAAAGAAAGCTACACCAACTTTGCAACAGAATCAAATTGAATGGTTTAAGGAGATTCCTGTTATAATCACATTTTCTGCTCCCCCATTTTCTGTGCTGTTTGTGCAGTAATTATTTCCCTTTTTTTTTCTTTTCAATGTCTTTATGAATTTATGTTTACGGAAATCATTATACATGAAATTAAACAGTATTCTCCCAAACCTGGTTAAGACATGGAATTATACAGCAACAATAGCTACCTGGAAGGAATATGTTACATAATAATAGTTCCAGGATATTTATCAACTGTCATAGGCGTATCTGTGTACATATGTTCTGACAAAAATTTAATTAAATTTAAACTGACATCCAAAAATTCAATGATTTCACTTTATAATATTATGAATGGCAAAACCACTCTGATCTGGACAGTACAATAGCCATTATAGCACCTCTGAGGTTCCCCCTCCTCTTGCCTTCCAAGTTCTTGAGGTTACAAGTATGCATGCAAGTAGTTAGTTCATCCATCATCACTACATGTTTTAAAAATTGACCAGTGATATACAAGAGGCAGGTGTGTAATGAAAACAAATCATATTTATATTATCTAAAACTTTTACCTTTCAATAAATTTATTTGTATATTTTTAAGGTGATTCCCATACAGCAGCCACATATCTTCTGATTAAAAGGGAAACTGATCCGTGCCAGACACCAATCACTCTACACCATACTGAAAAGTAAATAGAACTAATTTTGAAAAATTAACTTTACATATGAGGACTTTCAATGAGGACATTCAATGATGAACTTTCAGTAAACAAAGTCTCAGCAGGACATGCTTTTCAATAAAGATGAACACTGTTCAGACCTGAAAATTCACTTGAGTAAATTTTTAACATCTATGATCATGGAGCTGAATTGTTGGTGCAATGTTTCATACATGAATTATAGAAGCAAGCATTATAGAATAGAGAGTTTTATACCATTAATTAATTATTGCAAAATATCATTTCAGAACAATGGAATATTATATAAATGTGAGTGTATAATACCAAACCACTGATATGAAATGTTAAATGGCATATCATCTCACATATTTGACTAAAGGTGGTGCTCACCAGTTATTATGTACTTTTGAGAGAGTGATGTATGTAAGGTGAAGTTGTTTGCATTTTAAACATGCAGAGTGGAGAGAATGTTGGTATACCTATATGCTACTTTCATGTAATGTGGATGAAATTTCTTTGGATATTGTATTTTTGGAAATTTTAAATGATCTTAAGACGCTGCTAAATAAAATGACTGCTCTCTTGTGCTCCAAAAATCAACCTGAATTTGTCTAAAGTACACTATTCTTGGCATCTATTAAAATATAGAAAATGAATTTTGCCAAACTAGACAATACCAGCTTCTAAAAGTGCAATGAATGAATTACCAAATACATAAAATGTAAAAAAAAAAGTTATCGGCGCTATTTTTCACAATTTATCTCTGAAGTTCGGGAAGTGAAAATGAGCAAGTAGAGCTAGCATTTTTTTGAAAGGTGCACATCTGGAGCAAGGCCAAGCTGTATACTCTCTAACCCATATTACACCCATCAATCATACATCAAAATAAAGGGAATTAAAGGTTCTTTGAACAATACCCAAGATATACAAAGTCTCTTTTAAATAGCCAGTATAACTAGTGAGGAAACCCAGGGAAACTTTTTCTTAAAAATTCTAACCCTATGCTAAATACGAAACTGTAGAGCGCCACCAAAATCTTTTATTTATATTCAAAGCTTTTTCAATACTAAATTGGAACTGATGAAATCATAAAAGCTATATTCTTTATATGAAATTTTTTTCCAATTGATAAGATTCTGGCAATTACTGTTTCTTTATCAAAAATTAAAAAGTTTTTTTCATTAATATCTGCATGTGGTGATGGAAAGTTCAAACAGAGAATGGTTTTAAAGAAACTGAGATAAACCAAATCTGTAAATATAATCTTACTGACAGCAAAATCAAATTGTACTGTAAGTACTTACAGCATGAAATGTGTGTGTGTGTGTGTGTGTGTGTGTGTGTGTGTGTGTGTGTGTGTGTCATGTAGATTTTTAATATAGCTTTATCAACTTTTCAGTCATATCACAATGGTGTCTGCAATGTGGCAGTTTATAGTGATGTCTAGCACTGGGGCATCATGCTGCAGATATGTAGGATGATGTCCCACCCAGTCACATTATCTTGACACCAGGCCGACCAGTCCTAACACTAACATCTTAATACTGAGTGTCAAGTGAGGCAGCTGCTAGTACCATTTTTGTAATTCTTTGATATGACTCGAACGGGGATGGAATCCACAACCTCCTGCATCCGAGGCGGATGCTCTAACCACTAGGCCACCAGTCCTAACACTAACCTCCTAATGTTAAGAGCCTAGCAAGGCATTTTTACAAGCCATTTTTATAAGTCTCTGGTATGACTCAGCCATGGTTTGAACCCATGACTTTTAACCACTATACCACCATATCATAGCAAACAATGTACATCCAACTATAAAAACATTACAAAAATAAAAGTGTTAGGAATTACAAACATACAATAGGGTAGGATTAGAGTTATCCCATATGAAATGGACCTCTGACTGGGAAATAACTGACAAATAAAAGTACTGGGTTTATTAACAAGTATCTCCATACAAAAGCATTCACAAAGTTTCAATGCAGGTTTCGCTGTATTTGTACAGTGGATGAGGCCCAAGTATGATTGCAATCAAATGTCAAAGGATTTTCGATTCTGATTGAGCTATATACCAATAATGCAGTTTCTGTAATATCAAAGAAAGAGACTTACAAAGCTATATGTATACATGATTTGGGTATTATGTATGTCATATACAAATAACTTATAAGAAAAATCCAAAAGCAAATTGCACAGATTCAGATATGACATCATGTTTTTAGGAGTAATCATTAGAATAAACTATAAAGATCCTGATTTGCTGGTGTGTCATGTAATAATAGATCAGGGTGTATGTTGTTTGTAAACTGACTGATGTATAAGCAGATACAGATAGTTCATACAAATTAATAGTTGATCTACCACTATTTTTAAACAGCTTTGGTTTGCTTCAAGTTTTATAGCACATCAACACATGAAGGGTAATATAACGCAGACCAATGCTTAAAGACACAAACATTGCTAGCTGATCTGGACAAATCTGATGGTGGGAACTGAACCCATGCCTTCACATCTGGAGTCTGCTTTTCAACCTGGTAAATTGGTGGACACAGAACAAAATATCAATGATCAATCATAATAATAAAATTAAAAATATTTCCATGAAAGAGCTGGTAAAAGATTTTGACTGTTGCATATTGGTGATGCAGGAATGCTTTGCCTTTTGTGTGCAACACATGCCTAAAAAAAAACTATCTGCTTCCCTGTCAGCTTTAATTCAATATACTACTAATTACCAATAGACTGTCCTGCTAACACAGCAAAATTCATATTATCGTGGTATAGGGAACATTGGAGATTCCAAGTATGACATTACAACTAACCGTTGGCAGAGCCCTGGTTGGCAGAACCACCATGGTGATGAAGGAAGATGATTTATATATCAGATTAAGCCATTGAATAGGCTAAATGTATACCCAATACTGATGTTGTGTATATAATTTAGGTCATTACGACTGTCACTTTACTTTACTTTATATATATATATATATATATATATATATATATATATATATGTGTGTGTGTGTGTGTGTGTGAGTGTGTGTATGTATGTGCATGTGTATGTATGTGAGAAACTGACAACGAACAGTGGAAAACTAGTATCTAACTAGCCTGAGTATTTTCGACTCTTAATGAGTCTTTTACAAAGGCAAATACAAAACATAGACAAGACAAATAAAACACAAAACCATTGTGTTTGCAAAACTTTACATAGCTGTTTCTACAGGAATTAAACCTTTAAATTTATTATATTTCAACTAGTTTTGCACTGTTCATTGTTAGCTTATTGCATTTATCTTAATCAATCCTTGACACACAAGATTTTTTGCTGAATCCAGTGCACTTGAAAGGACTGTTTGTTATTCACCGATTGATTTGTATCCTCAATATACCATTGGTATACTATTGGCATATCAAATTGTGATCCACCCATGTGCATTAATATGCATATATAAACACTGGAACTGCTTGCTGTTAATTCTAGGCCTATAGATCAATGATACATTTCCACTCATTAATCATTAGTGAGTATAAATTATCCCAATTTTTGAAAAGAATTTAATAGGATACGCAATTTCATCGCAATCCTTTCTGCTTTCTGTCCAAAGGGCAAATATGTGTATTAGCATGTGATATATATATAGTATGTATGCTGAATTATTGATATGCTACTCTTATAAATTCTCATCAAAAATAAATTTGGCAAGCTTCATTTCTTTAGTATGTAATAGCTATGGTCAATTATCCATTTCCCGTTATCACCATCATCATAAACCCATGCATTTCCTTTCTTTATAAAAGACTACATGCATTAACAGCGGGAGAGAGAACTGTTTAATGTTGTTTTATTCATTATCAATGACAAAATGATGCAACTTATCATGGTTTCATCATACAAACTTTGTTTTAATGTGGGTGGGTATATTGGTTTTGAAGTGCTTTAATTGCATGTCTTTGTATAAAGACCTATCCTGGTCAAAGATTACTGCAATAAATTTCACTGTTAAACAGTGATATATATATATATATATATATATATATATATATATATATATATATATATATATATATATATATATATATATATATATATATTCCCTATTAAGCAAGCAAAACAAGTCACAAAAGTCATACATGGATGGTGCCAATATGTGCAAGCAGAGATTAAAGAACAAAATAGCATGTACCTATGTTGACAGTTCCTTTTATACAAGTTCCTTTTGAATGGAGGTTTTCACTGCAGAATACATGTCTGTCTGTAGTAACAAACAGATGTTGAAAATGTTGAAAACAGGATAATTAATGCATTTGCAGCAAACAGACTTCAGAAAACAGAATGAGGTGCTTCAGAGAGCCAAGCAAAGATTGATTCAAACAGTGTTAAGTAATCTGTTCCATCTTTGAAAAACAGATCAGTCTTTTTGAGCTGAGTATAGTTTTATCTAATTTGAACTTCATTTGACTTGGTACTTTTATCATCTTTCCATACAAATAAATATTAATATTAGAAACTATCATTCTCGTTTGCTCATATTTCGCTATTGCAGATTTTTTCACCCTTCATTTTGGGACATTGGGGGTACAGAACCTACCATTTTAGTACATTGGGGATGAAAAAAAAGCCTGTTCGGGGATGATGGGAACCCACCCACCCCCATTTTTGGAACTATAGCATCTGCTTACATTCCTGTTTGTCTACACCCCTCTACTGATTTTAAAAACAAAATCATCATGGATATAAGAGAATGCACAGAATTTAGTTATTTCATTTACCGAATAATAATTTCTAAACTTATTGTCATGAAGTGTCCCTACCAATGTCACCTTCTGCATGATTCAAACCAAATGGGAATTTCTTTACTAATATTGTGCCATATTTCCATAGCAAAGTCGAATTATTTAAGACAACAATCATGAAGTAGTTTGCTATTTTCGCTATGCTCTGAAACATTCTTAAATTTCACTAACTTAAGTCACATCTCTTAGAATACATGTAAAACTTTGTTCAATTCATTTATAACTAGACATTCCATACAAACAGACATAAGTTTGTCACAACAAATAAAATATAGTGTTCTAGCTACTGGAAAAGAACAGTGAGCAGTGGTTGTTTACAAAGTCCATTAGGTATGAATGCGACCAAGATGACAACATTGTAAGCCACATGGACACAATCAGGTTAGTAATTATAAATCAATGACTGAAATGACACAGTTTTGTACATTTTTTTATTCCTCAGCTATTCATTTTTAAAATCCAAAGGAGTAAAAAGAAATGAAGGGTAAGCAAATACATGTACCAGTGTATCCCATTGTGGTGCAAGACTGAGCCAAAACTGATGGTCAGACTGAGTAAAAAAAAACAACAACTTTGGTATCAAAACTGGGGATCAAATAAAAAATGTGGGGTTCTCTGGGTCTGAAGCACAAATGAGGGTAATGGGAAACACTTATGAGGGTAAAGGAAAACACTGTTATGAGGGCAAAAGGAAACACTGTTATGAGGGTATTGAGGAAACATTGTTATGAGGGCAAAAGGGAAATACTGTTATAAGGGTAAAGGGGTACACTGTTATGAGGGCAAAAGGAAACACTGTTATAAGGGTATTGGGGAAACACTGTTATGCGGGCAAAGGGAAACACTGTTAAATACTATTAAATACTATAGTGTGAACACTGTCCATGAACTAATTTAATTTCAAACCTTAATTGCTAAGACATGTAATATACATATATCGGGTATTATTAAACTGAAAATTCAATGAATGAATGATTGTGTAATGACTGAACATTTAACTGAGCATTACACGGAGTATTAGACAGAGTATTAGAATGAGTATTTCAATCTTAAATTGAAAATCATGGCAACACAATACATCCTCAAGGAGAGTGGTTGGAGGGAAGCATAAAAGCCAAGGGTAAAAATCATAGACCATTTATGTAAGTCGTCCTCCCCGATATTTCGTATAATTAATGTTAGTACCCTATACTTCGTGGACGGGGCCATCTGTACATCTTAATAGGTCTATCGGGGAGGACGTCCTACCTTGTCAGCACGCAGTCTATAGAAAGGCATGAAACATATCCGCCGACTTTAAAAGCTTGCATCTAATGCACAAGATTGCAAAAGTGGCTCTTCATTAGTCAACTTCCCCCACCCCCACCCCCGTTAATAGCTCGAGTTGAAATAGCTGCCGAGATTACTATAGAAAAGTAGGGACTAGTGTACGAAGGACACCTAAAGTCACTAATTGCTTGCTAGGGTTTGGACGGAAAGGTGTCCTGTCAGTTGCAAAATAAAGTATCCTCCCATTGTGATCCAATATTTTTTGCTCCCTACCAAACCGTTCCTTTTTTTAGGTCAAAAACCACAGAATCTATTTTGATGCAACTTCTATAAAACTGCTGTTAGGTATGTCAGGTCAAGTAAGCAGACATCGGGCAGATGGTGCGTCAAGGGACACAACTCTCATATGGTTAATTATCACTTGCTTGCAGTTGTTTCCCTTAGACTAAGGTTCCTTTAGTCGAAAGAGAATTTTCAATAAATTGTCGATGGAGATTGTTCAATTTGAATTAACGACCGTTTTAAAAATGTTTGTATCAACTATGTCAAACACTTTCAGAGAGCAATGATGACAACATAACGTTTGAATGCATATTTAAAC